ATTCTCTCACAGATGGTGAGGACACGTGCTACCGAGTTAGCTGAGCAGGCATCCGCATATACTGCTAGGGCTGCAAGAGGCCGGGGCCGAGGTAGAGGCCAAGGCAGAGGTCGAGGAAGGGCACGTGCCGCGACTAGAGCACCTGTCAAAAAACAGTTGAGGAGCCACTAGTTGCTCCAGTTGGGGGACAGGTACCAGAAGCACCTGTTGTTACCCCCGAACTTCAGGAGACTTTAACAAAGTTCTCCGCACCATGGGTATTGTGGAAGTGAATGGAGTTGCCTTTACTACATTTCAATTAATAGGCGCAGCGTATCAGTGGTGGCAAATCTATAAAGAAGGTAGACCAGCCGATACAACACCACCAACTTGGGCTCAATTTTAGGAAATGTTCTTGAAAGAGTTTGTTCCCTAGACTCTCTGAGATTCGTGGCACACAGTGTTTGAACGGTTGCGTCAGGGCACTATGACAGTGTCAGAATATGCTATCAGGTTCAGTGAGTTAGCCCCTTGGTTCCTACAGTTAGAGAACGGGTCCGCAGATTCATTGAGGGGCTCGATTATGATATTAAAATATGCATGGCTCAAGCGTTGCAAACTGATACTCCATTTCAACAAGTAGTGGAGATTGCAAGAAAGATTGAGGGTGTTTTAGGCGAGGAAAGGGAGTCTAAGAATGCCAAAAGGTCTCGACGATCTGAAGGGTTCAGTGGATTTTACTCTTCAACTAGGACCCATTATAGCGGAGGCTCGAGCAGTCGGCCAGCTCAGTCCGTACATCAGGTTACTCGGAATGCTCTAGTAAGTTCTTACAATGCACCGCCGGCATGTGATTCCTATAATGGTTATTCCAGTTATCTGGCACAGACTCAGTACGAGCAATCGTGACCTCAGAGGGGTTGTTATAAGTGTGGTGATACTAGGCACATTATGAGAGACTGTCCCAGACTTGGGAGGGGTGGATTTTATCACAACACTCAGACTATGGGCCCCAGTGCAGCTAATACTCCATGGGAACAACTAGTTAGGGGTGGAGGACAGGCGGGTAGAGGGTGCCTAAGAGGTGGAGACCCGACCCGTTGATATAATTGTTATGATTTGGCTGAGGCAGATACACCAGATGGTGTCGTTACAGGTACGATCCCGATTTGTTATAAAAGGATATTTTTCCTTAATTTGATTCGGTTCTGAATATTGAGGTGAGTCATCCTATTATGCTTCGATTAAGGGTGGCTTGAAATACGTGGCTAGTAGGAGAACTACTAGAAGTCATGCGGTGTGATAAGGGTAGCTACAATGTGGGATGCTATTTCGGGGAAAATGATTTCTTTAAAATTAAATGTGAAGGCTCCCGCGGTGATATAAGAAAATGAGATATTGTGAATTTAATTATGATTTGGGACTACAAGGCCGTACCTCAGGAGTACCCTGTTGATATTTCTTTATTTATATTATTGTCTTGGGTGATTTGGTTTCATTTAATATGTAAATTCTTGTCTTCTTCCATGATGTACTAGTTCACTTTATTATTATGTGTTTTGTGCTCCTAGTTATATTGTGTTGGCTTTGGCTTTTTAGCACGTGACTCTGAAGAAGTATATTTCTGACTTTTCTTACTGATGTTCGATGATTGAGTTGATTTAAATAAAAGGAATTATTATGTTTTAAATTAAATAATTTTACATCTAAATTAGTAGTTATCTGATGCTTTAATTTAAGTGCAAATGTTATTTCTTCACCCAAATGAATTCTAAAATAAATTCATTTCTTTGTTGATTTCTTACTTGATTAAAAAAAATTATAAACTTACTTTATTGAAAATAAATTGATCGTGCGGATCTTATATACTTTTATTATGGACACGCGAGTTGTCTATGTGGTTGTGATAGAAATATGGGCACGAGGTGCCATGGAAAATATGAAAGTGGGTTGAGACCCGTAAGTTTTATGATTGTAAAATAAGGTATCACATAGTGACTTTTACTTGAAAATATATTTATTTGAAAGTATTATATCCTGAAGAGTTTTATTTGAAAAACATATAGGCGAAAGAATTAGTATTTGAAGGACTTGATTAATTGGTTGTACTTGTGTTCCTTATTCGTCTAAGCAATAATTATGATGTTCTTGTTGCATTGCTATTATATCACTAGTTGATTTTGTTGTTATCATTGCCAGTTACTTTCCAGTATTATTTTGTATACTATATTGCACATATTAATAGATTAGTGAGTGTCTTGACTGTACCTCATCTCTACTCCACTGAGGTTAGTCTTGATACTTACTGGGTACCGACCGTGGTGTACTCATACTACACTTCTGCATATTTTTGCGCAGAGCCAAGTATTGGAGGTATCGGACCCGGACAAAATTAGAATATGATCGAAAGGATTCAAGGTAGAGCTGCTTGGTTGTCGCAGCCCCTTGGAGTCTATTCATTTCATTATACTGTTAATTTTTAATCAAACAATATTGTATATTTGGTCCTCGTGATCATTCTATATATTCAGTTAGAGTTCGTGACTCAGTACTACCACTCTTGGGAGGTTGTATATTCACTTTTGTTCCGCTGTTAGTTTTGATTACCAAAATAAAATGGCTTCAAAATATAATTGAAATCGGCTTACCATTGCTAGTTAAACCCCCAAAAATTCTCTCTCTAGAATTTTTTCTCTCAAAATTCTGTCGTCACTATAGTAGTGAATAGTGCCAAACAGTGACGCGAACATTTATTTCGCTACTATTTCATTGCAGAAAAGCTGGAGCTTTAGGCTTCAATGGTCACAATGGCCGGCGATCAACCATCTTTTCCGGCTGGTCAGCCCTCCCCCAGCATCGCACAACAACATACAACAACTAACTCCAACCAAGTTCCTCCAGATTACTCTAAGATTTTGAAACCCAACTCAATCAATCTTCCTGCGATGACTACTGCCTAAGCTTCAGTGCAGCCCATTACGATGCGATGAGCTACGTTTTTGAATGGCCAACCAATTGTGAGATTCACAGAAGCAGAAGTACAGAGGATGAATGTCATCGAAGGTCTCTAATATGCAGTGGTTGGAAAACTATCTTATGGATCTCCGGAGATTCATGAACTTCGTCGAATTATTCCAGCCCAATATGGTATCAAAGGTGAGTGCAATATCGGCTTTCTTAGAGATCGCCATGTGTTAATTAGATTAACTCTATGGCAAGACTTCCTCGATTTCACATCCAAGAGTACCTACTACATCAAAGTCAAAGATGGGTACGAATACCAATTGCGTACTCTTATCTACGATGCAAAATTTAAGGCGGGTGAAGAAACTCCGATGGCGATGGCGTGGATTTCTTTCCCAGGACTTCTGCCTACCTTTTTTGTAAAGGAAACTCTGTTTTCATTAGCTACAGCTGTTGGAAGGTCATTGTGTCTTGACGCAGCGACGATAAACAAAACGAGGCCGAGTTGCGCGAGAGTAAAAGTTCTTGTTGATTTGTTATCCGAGCTACCTAAGAAGATAAGAATGGAAGTGGTTGATGATGTTAATGGAGAGGTAAGAACAGAGTGGGTAAAGGTTTACTATGACATGTTGCTGAAGTATTGTAAGGAGTGTAAACTTCAAGGCCACAATGAAATTGATTGTTGGCGTTTGCACCCCGAGCTAGTTGAAAATAGAAACAGTGATGAGGCCACTGCTGCAGCTGAAGAGCAAGCGAAGATTAAAACCACACTGCTCCACTAATGATTCTCACGAGCAAAAAAATTGTCGGGAATGTGTGTGAACAGTGGAAAGAAGTTCGAGATAATCGAGCGACGAACAAAGGCAAGCAAAGTCAGAAACAAGGGAAAGTTGGCAAAGAAATTGTTCCAGTTAATGCCGCTAATCAGCAGATTGAGACATCAAATAAGAATGCTCGTTTGGAAGTGGACGATGCTCAGAGAAACAAGGTTCAAACAATGAATAAATTTGATGTATTGGAGGTGGAACAAAGTGATATTCATGAGAACCATCAGCTGGTTTTAGTGGTGGGAAAACTCTGTCCAAAAAAGCACAGCTAATCATAAGGCAACTGGAAAGTTGAACCCTACAGCAGCAGTTTTTAATCCTACTGCACCTGGGATTACAATGCTGAAGAAAACAAACAATATTAACGTTAATGGAAGTGAGAATGCAGGGATTGAAGGTGTCCTTAAAGAAACAACTGCACAATAGGTCAGTAGAGCTTTTGTTGATAATTTAGTGCCAACTAATCAGTCCTGTCAGGATATTCCTTCACAATCAGTTGATACAAACGCACCAGCTGTTGTACCTAAGGAATTTGATAGACTACAACTTAGTGGAAATGGACTTTGGTGTCAACAATTAGAAGAAAGGTCAGAGGATGGTGAACTCCCACAAGGTGTTATTGGTGATGATGAAGTAACAGAAGAGGAAAGGGGAAAAAGAGGAACAAAGTGTAAATGGGGAAGGAATAAGATACAATACTGAAATATAATTGATCAATGAAGAGATGACCAGAATGAAGGACCTATCACTTTTGAAAAATGTTGAAGTAGTCGAACAAGATGCAGCAGTACCAGAGGTTGGCAAAAACACACTTAAAGATCTTGCTATTATTGGTGAGGTAATCACTCGGCAAAAAGGGGAGATAGGATTAGTGGATAAACAAGTTGGTGACAGTGGTAGTTTCAAATACAACACTATGCAATCCAATCATAATACAAAGGAGCATGAGAATGCTTCCTTGATTGTAAAAGCTACCAAAACAAATACTGTTGCACAAACTCATACTGATGGAGATACTGGATTTCTGGAAGCTAAAGGGAAAGACTTAGACCAAGAATCTACCACACAAAACTTTCTCAACATAGCTAGACAAAGAGACCTTTCACCAAGGCAGATTGAGAAAGGAAAGACGACTAGAAAGGGGGAAAAGAAGCAACTGAAGGATAATTACATTTTGCAACCAGCAGGTGTACAAACGAGAAGGACTATCTCTAAATCAAATTTGTTACAATGAATGCACTTATCTGGAATGTGAGATCAGTGAATACTAAGAAGGCTTTTGAAAGGGCTATCACAATGCATAGACAATATCACTTTGAGTTTATTGGGCTTATGGAGCCAATGCAACATGCTAGGAAATTGGAAAAATATAGGAGGAGAATTGGAATTGCCCAGGCTTTTGGTAATATTTCAAATAATATTTGGGCTTTTATTGATGAAGTTTATAAGGTCAAGATACTGATGGACATGGATCAACAGCTTACCATGAAACTTTACAATGTTGATACTAAGAAAACTTTCATTCTTACGTTAGTGTATGCAAAATGCGACGTAATTGAGATGATTGAACTATGGGATTCAATGTATGGCCTTGCAACTGATATGTCACTTCCTTGGATTGTGGGAAGTAACTTTAATGTTATTTGGGACGAGGAGGAGAAGTTTGGAGGACTTCCAGTGCATATGAATGAAGTTATAGATTTTAGACATTGTGTAAATACATGTAATCTATTTGATATTGGCTTTAAATGGAGTATATACACGTGGTGGAATGGTCGAGCTGAAGATGATTGTATTTTCAAGCGATTGGATAGAGTTCTAACTAATGTTGAATTCCAACAATCTTTTCCAGGTTTGGAGATCAATCACCTCTCAAAGATTGGGTCAGATCATATCCCACTCCAACTAAATACATCTGCCAATACTGTCCCAATTAAGAAATCGTTTGGATTTCTTAATAATTGGACGAAGCATGAATTATTTATTGATGCGGTGAAGGAAAACTGGACAGAAGATTTTTGCGCACATCCATTCTAATTGTTTAACTATAAATTGAAGAAGATGAAGAAAGTTTTATCCTCATGGAGTAGGGCAACATATGGGGATATATTTCAAAAGATTGCAAGCCTTGAAGAAGTGGTCCTTGTCCACGAAGCTCAGTTTGAGATGAATCTATCGCAACAGAATCGAGAGAGGCTACACAAAGTCCAAGCAGAACTGATACGTTATTTGACGTTAGAAGAGGAGTTCTGGAGGCAAAAATCAGGTATGCTTTGGTTCAAAGATGGAGATAGGAACACAAAGTTTTTCCATGCTCAAGTTAACAGTCGGAGAAGAAGGTTGCAGCTCAAAGGAATCCAAAATTGTAGGGGTGACTGGATAGAAAATAATGATGGTATGGCTAAGGAAGCTGTGAATTTTTTACGGCCCAATTCCATGAAGACAAAGTTCCATATGCTTTTGGGATTATTGAACATGTACCTCACATGGTTAATTTTGAACATAACCAAAATCTACTGAGGCAGCCAACACTAGAAGAGGTTAAATATGCTGTATTTGGGTTAAATGGTGAGAGTGCCTGGGGTCGGGATGGCTTCACTGGATGTTTTTACCATACCTGTTGGGATATAATTAGTGCAGATGTGTATCAAATGGTTAAGCATTCTTTAATGGTCATGAGCTACCAAAATGTGTAACTCACACAAATCTGGTACTCCTACCAAAAAAGAAAGAGGTGATTACATTTTCGGACATGCGACCTATCAGCCTTGGCAATTTCGTCAACAAAATATTTTCCAGAGTGGTGCATGAAAGGTTGGTTCATCTTCTTCCAAACCTTATATCAGATGAGCAAGCAGGTTTTGTCAAAGACAGAAACATTGTCGAGAATGTGCTGCTAACTCAGGAGATTATTACGGACATTAGACTGAGATCGAAATCTGGGCCTAACGTGGTAATAAAATTAGACATGACGAAAGCATATGATCGATTGTCTTGGCTCTTCTTAACTAAAGTTTGATGAAAGGCTCATAAGCTTGATATTTAGTATCATCTCAAACAACTGGTACTCTGTGTTACTTAATGGGAAGTCATATGTTTTCTTCAAATCAACGCGAGGAGTCAAGCAAGGGGATCCACTATCTCCTACTCTATTCATCTTAGCTGCAGAGGCAATGTCTAGAGCTGGTAATGGAGGTGTTGGCAGCCTATGAAGCAGTATCAGGATAGTTGATTAACACTGCAGTTTACATGCATCATAGTACGCCTGTTGAGGTAGTGAACAGGGTGCAGAGGATTACAGGCATTAACAAGCAAGATTTTCCATTTACCTACCTTGGTTGTCCCATTTTTTACACTAGAAGGAAGATGGAATTCTATGAGGGTCTCATACAGAAGGTAATGGACAAAATGCAGTCGTGGAAAGGCAAGATATTATCCATTGGAGGAAGAGCTACATTTATATCACACGTGTTGCAAACAATGCCAATCCATATATTATCAGCAGTGAACCCTCCATCGTATGTACTCACTAAGTTACATAAAATGTTTGCTCAATTCTTTTGGAGTAGTGAAGTTGGTGGTAGGAGCAGACATTGGGCTTCTTGGGACAAAATGTGTCTGCCATATGAAGAAGGAGGAGTGGGGTTTAGGTCTTTAAAAGATACTGCCAAAGCTCTATTTTGTAAATTATGGTGGAATTTTAGAACAAAGGCTAGTTTATGGAGTTCGTTCATGAGCCAAAAATATTGTAAGAAGCTTAATCCTATCATTGTTCCTTGGAGGGAAGGGTCGCATATCTGGAAAAGAATGCTGGAGTGCAGAGATGTTATAGAGCATCAAATAGGGTGGCACACAAACATGGGATCATCTCTTTTTTGGTATTAAAACTGGACTAGTCTTGGAGCTTTGTACTTCCTCATGCCTCTAGATTTTGCAATAGATGAGTCGATCAATAATGTGTATGAGGTAGTCGACGCAGGATCATGGAATATCGAAAAGTTAATGGAATCACTGCCAGAGGAATATGCAACTCACATTTTGGAGAATATTAAAGCCCCAGTCAGTCATGAGGTCTTGGATAGACCATACTGGATGTTGGAAACGAAAGGTTATTTTAGTGTCAAGACGACATGAGAATATTTGAGGAGGAGGAAAGAACCTGGGTTAGCATACAACAAGATGTGGGTGAAAGGATTGCCATTCAAAATTTCATTCTTCCTTTGGAAAGTCTGGAAATCAAAGATTCCTCTAGATGATTTCATAAAGAGATTGGGTTATTGTGTGCCATCAAAATGCTGGTGTTGTACCCAACCAGATGAAGAAACTCTGCTACATGTTTTCTTTACATCCTTTGAAGCTACGAGAGTATGGACATATTTCCTAACAAATGCAGTTTTTGCCATGGAGGGACTGACTCTGCACCAAGCAATTGTAAAATGCTGGACTGCAAAAGTAATACCACCACTATAACCTATTGTACAAGCATTACCAGCGATCATCATTTGGGAGTTGTGAAAGAGAAGAAATAGCTACAAGCATGGGGAGGTGGTGACAATTAGCAGAGTTTTATATCAAGTCTCAAACACATTACAATCTCTTGTCAAAGTAAGGAAGCCTAGTATGCAAAATGTGCCTCACAAATGGCCTGATTTGATCCAAAACCTGGAGCAATATACTCCAGTTTTGAAGGTGACAAAAGTGTTCTGGGAATTCCCCTTTGAAGGATGGATCAAGGTCAATACAGACGGGGCGAGCAGGGGAAATCATGGAAGAAGATCTATCAGTTTTGTGTTGAGAGATGAGGATGGAGATGTCATTTATGCACTAGGAAGGGAGGTTCCACCAGCTACAAATAATGAGGCAGAAGCTCTAGCTATTCTGGAGGCTCTGAGATATTGTGTGGACCATCGATTCACACAGTTTTGGCTACAAACAGATTCCATGATCATGAAGAATGTGTTAAATGGAAATTGGATGCCACCATGGAATATTACTAAATATGTGGAAGAAATTAAAAATCTTATTAAAGGGTGTAATGTTACAATTACCCATATTTTGAGGGAGGGCAATATTCTTAGCAGATCATCTTGCGAACTATGCTCTAGACAATGGGGCTATTGAAGCACATGGATTTGCACAACTTGATGTACATGGTCGAAGGATTGTGAATTCTGATAAATCACAATGTCCATATTTGAGGGTGAAGGTTGCCAAGATGTAAGGGTGATGAAGAAGGAAACCAGTAAGAGGAATGAAGATCATAGGGAGTGTTGTGATCCAGTCTTTAGGGAGGAGAACACAGTACACGGGTTAACGACTAACACTGTTTTCTTTGTTGCAGGAAATGGTATTGTAATTAGAAATCCTCATGTGTTTAACCTTTTATGGGTGGTATTAGCACTATGTGCTCATTCCCAGAAAAGGATATCACTGGTGAGCATAAGCAAAGAAGCATTGACAATCTCAAGTTTTCTATTGAGTACAAGTTGTGTTTCGACCTTCAGTCATCAAAGGATTGCCATCTATCAATTGGCATCTGAAAATGGGAACAATGAAGGTATTGGGAATTCAATGACCACTGCATTCTGTTCATACTACATCGCAAGTTACAGAATATAAACTGCAATGTGCACTACAACACTATCTGTCAACTGGAAAGCCAACTCGAGTCAGAGGAAGATACAAATAGCAAATGGAAAGAGAAGTAAAACTGCCTCACATATTTACACAACACATCAATGTAAATGTTGGGAATCTCTAGAAGGAAGGGAGATTAATCATACGTACAAGCATGGGGCAAACAAGAAGAGGTGGGCATCGTTCTACATAGATGCCCAGTAACTTTGCAACTGGCAATGTTGGAAGGAAAACAGCAACTATGGAAAACAACACAAACCAACTGGCAAAACTGGCCAGTTTTCGTGTCTGCGTGACAACGTTATGCACAGTTATTTGGATGCAATTATGGATCTTAGGAATGCATTTGGGATCCAAATAACAATGGATTTCATTAATGTATTGGCTCAACACAGTGTACATGGAGGTATGGCAATAATTATCACTTCTGGGCCTTACGCACATAGGTGTAACAACGTCTTGCTCATACATCACTGGACAAAGGAGCCACTGTCTCGTGCAGGTGGCAGTGGCATTTGCAACAATGCATATGGAGAAATGACGACGCCACAACCAAACAACAAGTACGTACCAATTGGTACGATGAAGAATGGGCCATGCTCAATTGAAATTCTACAAATTGACAAGGGCCATTTACACAATAGTAAAACGTCTATAATGGACATCATGATTGACGGCTTACCTTGGCTAGTTGTTAAACTACATTCTCTTATTTTACTTAGCATAAAGTATGTACTATCGTCTTTGAGCTTTATGATCAATTCCGATAATAGGAGCTATGTAATTGTCAATTTTTACTTCTTTCATTTTGTAACACATCCCGGATTTTGTTTGTTTTTTTTTTGCAATTTTGATATATATAAAAATTAGCCCTAGGTACTATGCCTAGCGGATTACCAAAAAATAAAATCGACTTACCTAGTCTTAGAAACTAGGTGCCATCACGACGCCTGTGGTGGGATTTTGGGTCGTGACACCCAATCCATATGGTGAAAATTGCATAAAAATCACTTCAATTCGAGCTCCATAGCTCCAAATGTGTTAAAATGGCCGAAATCTTAAAATATAGCTTCTGTCCAGGCATCTACTCTTCGCGATCGCGGAAAATGCTTCGCGATTACCAAGCACAAAAATTTCCAGCCCAAAATTTGCCCTTCGCGATCGCGGGAAACCACTCGCGATCGCGAAGAACAAACTCCCCAACTCCTCTGGATAGCCTCTAGTATAATAGTTATAACTTTTTGTACAAAACTCCAAATGATAAATGGTTTAACTTTATGAAAACTAGACATCAAGGGCTACAACTTTCTCTTTTGTAACATCTCCAAGTTCCTTATAGATTGCGAGATATAAGCTTCCAAAGTCGGGTCAGTGCAACAGAGATTTTGTTCTACGCGACC